GTGCGTGGCATTTATTATCTTGGTCTCCGTAAATGTGGAAACCATTGAATATGTCTACCAATGCTCCTCAGTCGACCACAAAGCATTTAAAATAGCGTTTAGTGTTTTGACCAGCTGTGTATTTAGATGAAGCAAGGTCAGGAACCCAGCATGGTGGAGGATAATGACAGTTATCGTGCAAAAAGATCTGTCACTTTACTTTTGTAGCTTTCAATTCTATCAGAATCGTAGTTTGTAAATTCACATACCTTTGATGAAGTAAATGTTAGACAGTGTTTTTATGAATATATCCCCGTGAAAAACTTACTTAACAACAGTAAGATAATAAACTTCTGAGAAATTCAATCATGAAGGGTCTTATTTCATCAAAAAAGCTGAAGTTTGAAGGCCATTGAAAACAACGCTGATATAAATGAAAGCCAAATATATATGTAATCTTCAGCTCAACTGTCCATCATGTCTGTTAGATTATGATAGTTGCAGTTCAACTACAGTAAAAGCAGATAAAATTAAAACAATTATGCCCTTAAACTGTATGTCTTGAAAGAGCAGTTTCTTCTGGGCTTCTGGTTGTTAGAAGGCATCTCAGTTACCAGTACTTGTGATTCCGCGGTTATAGCTTGAACCATGTTTTGTGCATGCAACACTTGGATGAACCGTTGATTAGAAACATTGAAGAGATTTCAAAGCAATCTCTTGCAGTACTACCGTCTTCGTTCTTTAGACCAAAGTAGTTGAAAAGAATTATGTGGTGCCACAGGACTCTGCAGTAAATATCCACCATAAAGATCTTCACAATCCAGTCAACACCAGTGATCCCGGGAATTAGCTCTCTTTTGGTTTTTTCTTCCTTTCCACTTGGTCACTGAGCTGAAGTTACTCTCATCACCACATGTCAGTTCAATCAGTAAAACTAAAATATTCTTGGAGAATGGAACTAACTGACAAAATTAAAATATCCAACCTCTAGCATTGTAGGTATGCTGAGGGAATTGGGCAGGGTATTTATCTTCGTCAAACAGTATATTCCAATCTCTTGCATCACTAGAGATGTCCTTCTTCATCATCATCATCTCCTTACCAAGCTTCTAGTACTGGGTAAGTTTAGACCTGAGCTTAAACCACAGCTCACACAGTCCTCCTTGGGTGACGGGTGTGTTACTACTCTCTCTGTTGTCTGCCAATTGAATCGGAAAGGTCGAGGTGATTTCATGTTAGTCTTTAAATCTCTATTGACAAAATGTGTAATACTCTAATCGTGAAATATCGTCAACTCACTACTAAAGCCCTTTGCATTGGATCAACTCCAACAAAATAACTTCAGGTCAGCCTACAAAATGTTCGAGTATTCACAAAGTGAGTGAAAATGTCTCGTATAGCGCTCGATTTTTCTTAACGATATTTTTTAACTTTCGGTAATGACGACCAAACGCATCGCGCGGCTTTTTATTTTTAAAATAATTATTTTTATCTAACAAAATTGCTAATTATTATCCCGTATACATTTTACTATTTTAAAATATGATATGAATAAATATTATGGGTTATAATTGTATAATTTTAAATTACTTTGTAAAATAACAAAATTTGAACAATTATGTATTTAAAATTAATAAAAAATTTTAAATACGGTAAATTGTTGTTCATTGATTTTCAAGAACTATTTTATGCATTGGAAATTTAATTTATAATATACTGCGATCAGACATTTGTGGGGTTTTAGATTTTTTTGTTAGCAAAGATTTATTTTAAAAATAAAAGCCGCGCGATGCGTTTGGTCGTCATTACCGAAAGTTAAAAAATATCGTTAGGAAAAATCGAGCGCTATACGAGACATTTTCATCCCACTTTGTGGATACTCAAACATTTTGTAGGCTGACCCGAAGTTATTTTGTTGGAGTTGATCCAATGCAAAGGGCTTTAGTAGTGAGTTGACGATATTTCACGATTAGAGTATTACACATTTTGTCAACAGAGATTTAAAGACTAACATGAAATCACCTCGACCTTTCCGATTCAATTGGCAGACAACAGAGAGAGTAGTAACACACCCGTCACCCAAGGAGGACTGTGGGAGCTGTGGTCTAAGTTCAGGTCTAAACTTACCCAGTACTAGAAGCTTGGTAAGGAGATGATGATGATGAAGAAGGACATCTCTAGTGATGCAAGGGATTGGAATATACTGTTTGACGAAGATAAATACCCTGCCCAATTCCCTCAGCATACCTACAATGCTAGAGGTTGGATATTTTAATTTTGTCAGTTAGTTCCATTCTCCAAGAATATTTTAGTTTTACTGATTGAACTGACATGTGGTGATGAGAGTAACTTCAGCTCAGTGACCAAGTGGAAAGGAAGAAAAAACCAAAAGAGAGCTAATTCCCGGGATCACTGGTGTTGACTGGATTGTGTGTGAAGATCTTTATGGTGGATATTTACTGCAGAGTCCTGTGGCACCACATAATTCTTTTCAACTACTTTGGTCTAAAGAACGAAGACGGTAGTACTGCAAGAGATTGCTTTGAAATCTCTTCAATTTTCTAATCAACGGTTCATCTAAGTGTTGCATGCACAAAACATGGTTCAAGCTATAACCGCGGAATCACAAGTACTGGTAACTGAGATGCCTTCTAACAACCAGAAGCCCAGAAGAAACTGCTCTTTCAAGACATACAGTTTAAGGGCATAATTGTTTTAATTTTATCTGCTTTTACTGTAGTTGAACTGCAACTATCATAATCTAACAGACATGATGGACAGTTGAGCTGAAGATTACATATATATTTGGCTTTCATTTATATCAGCGTTGTTTTCAATGGCCTTCAAACTTCAGCTTTTTTGATGAAATAAGACCCTTCATGATTGAATTTCTCAGAAGTTTATTATCTTACTGTTGTTAAGTAAGTTTTTCACGGGGATATATTCATAAAAACACTGTCTAACATTTACTTCATCAAAGGTATGTGAATTTACAAACTACGATTCTGATAGAATTGAAAGCTACAAAAGTAAAGTGACAGATCTTTTTGCACGATAACTGTCATTATCCTCCACCATGCTGGGTTCCTGACCTTGCTTCATCTAAATACACAGCTGGTCAAAACACTAAACGCTATTTTAAATGCTTTGTGGTCGACTGAGGAGCATTGGTAGACATATTCAATGGTTTCCACATTTACGGAGACCAAGATAATAAATGCCACGCACACTATAGTTAGGTACAGCACACAGAACATTGCTAAATTCTAGTCCTGCCTCATCGATTTGAAATGAGAAATGAGCAGACAAAAGACGAAAAAGATTGACGCTCAGGACTGCCACATATAGAAACAACTGCAACGATTAAATGCCTAAGGTATGTAATAAAGCATCCTTGGATAGTGCATTTAAAAATAAATACCCTTGTGTTGTGCACAAGCAGAGCCGGTGGTTTACTAAATACAACATCAAACGACAATTGATATGTGAAGTTTGTTGCTATGATGTTTGAATAGTGAGGTATCCTTCTTAAAAAAAGTAATTTTGATGATCATTTTTATCGTAACCTGGTTCCCATTATACAATTTCTTTCATTTCAGGTCTAATTGGTTAGTGAACAATTGCTGAAGCCTGTAACCGGAGATTTGTGCGTTAAACATATTACATCAGACTACACAGACTTTTATAAGCAAACTGAGAATCGCCAGGACACAGAAGCGAAGGGCCCCTTCTATTCGGTTTTTGGCAAAAAGCTTGAGTGTTGATTGTTGAACATTGGCCTAGATAAACTATGAACTTTTTGAAACACAGGGCGTTTGTTATTTTTCTGATGTGAGTTGGCAACATATGATCAATCATTGGTCTGTTTTATAGTTACTTTAATGTGTACATTTTCAATTCTGTTAAGTCTTTTAAGTATAAGGTTGCTTTCTTTTGTTTTACCTTCATGTCATCTTTCGACTTCTCGCAGCTGCAGTCTTCCTATTTGCCCTCATCCTTCGCTCTCCTGGCCCTTTTCTATAGAGTTCATCTCTTTACCCGACTTGTCACTGACTTCCTATTTTCTATTTAAAGCTCTCACACGTACGGCCTCTATGTGTGCAATATATCTCTTTATCCAACTTCTCATCGTCTTCCTACTCTCTCTCTATCCCTCTCCCTCTATATCCCTCTCTCTCTCTCTCTCTCTCAGGTCCTCAGTCCTCCTTCTCCTCTTCAGTCCTCCTACTCCTCATCCTCTTCAGTCCTCCTACTTCTCCTCAGTCCTCGTATGTACAATAACTTCTCAGTCCTCCTCATCAGTCCTCTTGCTCATCCTCCTACTCAGTTCTCCTCCTCAGTCCTCCTATAATGTACGATTCCTTCTCTGTCCTTCTCCTCCTCTTCAGTCCTCATACTCCTCCTCCTCAGTCCTCGTATGTATGATACCTTCTCAGTCCTCCTTATCCTCCTTTTCCTCCTCCTCAATCCTCCTCCTCCCCAGTCTTTCTCAGTCCTCCTTCTTATCTTCATCCCCCTACTCTTCCTCCTCCCCAGTTCTCCTCCTCTTTCTCTTCCTCCTCCTCAGTCCTCCCCCTCCTCCCCAGTCGTCCTCCTCTTTCTCAGTCCTCGTATGTACGATACCTTCTCAGACCTTTTCCTCGTCCTCCTCATCAGTCCTCCTCCTCCTCCTCCTGCTCAGTTTTCCTCGTCCTCCGTGTCTTTCTCCTCGTCCTCCTCTTTTTCAGTCCCTCTCAGTCGAGTCCTCCTCAGTCCTCCTCTTCCTCAGTCCTCGTATGTACCATACCTTCTCAGACCGTTTCCTCGTCCTCCTCATCAGTCCTCGTCCTCCTCCTGCTCAGTTTTTCCTCGTCCTCCTCTTACTCAGTCCCTCTCAGTCCTCCTCCTCCTCAGTCCTCGTGTGTATGATACCTTCTCAGTTCTCGTATTACATTTAAATTTGTTTGACATCGTATATATTTAAAAGACTCGACCTTATAAGTTTAAATAGGTCCTATAGTGCAGTAATTAGAAGATATTGC